CATGATGGGAAACCATTCCCCACAAAATTGCATCATCGTGGAATGGAGGTTGCTTTCACGATTAATAGGCACCTTTTTCCTTGGCCAGCAAGGCTAAAAAGTGTGAACAGCCTCCAAACCCAACTCCAAACCCACATCCGGGGGACAGTTACATCTAAGCATAATCTTCACTCAGCCATGTCCAGAGTGGAAGCAAGTCATTACGATACCTCTGCTAACGGCTAGTTTTTGCGTAAATATTATCTCATGATAAAAATTTAAGTTACACCAATTTATTTTAACACAACAGAGATAGCACCCCACCAACACCAAACTCTAGGTTACAAAGAGAAACTTATGAATCCCTACTTGACTATCATATATGAGAAAATTCATATATGATAGAAGTTGAGACAAGCATATGATAGATGTGTGGATTTTGCTTTCCCCCCCCCTTTTCACTTTAGTTTGTATTTATTGTATTTTTATAATGTAAAGACATCTCCTCTCCAGTCTATGTTCCCATCTCACAGCATTATTCTTATCCCTCATCCTGGTTCTTACCAATAATCTTGGTCCCTAATTGCTATCTCAGCACCTGTCGATTATCATTGTCTCTACCTACCACCTCAGTTCTCGTATATTATCGTGGTACTCATCTATCCGTTAGATGGTAACCGACTCTAAAGATCAAGACTAGCTAAGGCTAAGGGCCCTTTATTGTAGATGAATATGTGTTTATGAAGGCTTATAATAACTTCAAGTTATCTTCCTAAGGTTGCATCAAGTACAAAAGGTATTAAGAATAAAGCTTATGATAATAACCTAAAGGTAGAACTTGTTATATTAATAAGATCTCTTCTCCATTGCTCGTTGAGTTAGCTAGGGAGGCACATTAATATTTATAAGCCACATCTGAGTGTTTACAGGCTACATCTATCTACCATACTAACTCATGTACTTGCTAACTAATTCAATGTACCCGGAAAAGTGCAAACATTATTCAACTCTGAGAATATTTACCCTGCCAAGCACAGAGATTCATAAGAAATTTAGTTCCTCTGAAGGTGTATACCACTCCACCAGTAGGTAGTCCTCGATCTCTTTTGCTAAATGAACTTCTTCTGAGTATGCTATCATACTTGAATGCAAATATACGATACTGTCCTCTGATCAGCACAACCCATACCAACAGAACCCTACCCCTATGATACCTCCACTTCAGCCCATACACACGCACGCACGCACCGCCACACTCGAACACTTTTACCCCCAGTCAGGAAACCCAGCCATCACCGTAAGTTTACATACGATCCCATGCGACTAGCGTAGGTACCCCGATACCTCCAGGGATCTGGAAACGATCTTATCATACCCCTTTTATAGCCCGTCCTGAAGCTTCGGCACAACAAACCCAACCCCCCCGGTCGTAGGAAATCCCACAAACTAAGATATTCACCGACATACGAAAACGGGGGAAAGCAGCGATGCAAAGCTCAAGCCCACTCAACTCGAATCTCCTCTGGTAACCGAGAAAGATAATAATGGAATCCGCCACAATTGGTATCATAGAGTGTGGAAGAACTTGGAGGGAGGTGAGACAAAAGCACGAGTGATAAATTGTGACTCTGAATATCCGGATTTGCAAAAGCGATGGGTTTATTCTAACGAAAAGGCGAGGAAAGGAGATCTATCCATGCATGTGTAGCTATGGTCAACATGAAAGAAAGAAGTTATAAACCACAACAAACCAACCGAGTAAAGCCACCCATAGTTGTATTCTTAACATCAATATAGGAAACAACCCTCCTAAAGCTTCCCAAGCCTCCCCTTCCCAATACCCTTCCCGAAATTTTCAAAAATCTCCACAATCCGAGAATACCCACTATCCCTCGCGTACTCCAAAGCACTCTTCCCCTCAGCACTACTCGCCACGCTTCTAAAATCCGCCCCGTAGCGCACCAGCAGGGTGATGAGCGGTACCCGCCCAGGACAGTGCCTGACAGCCTTAAACAGCGTTGTCTCGCCATCCCCATCGGCAGCCCCGCTCCAAGCACCCACGTTCGCCCCCTCCTCTAGCAGTACCCCCGCGGCACCCTCGCACCCCAAGAGCACCGCGACGTCCAACGGCGTCCTCCCCTGCCCATCCCTAATGTCGGCGAAGACCCCGTGACGGAGCAGCAAGCGCACCATACTCTGACTGTTCTCCCCGGCCGCCTGGTGCAGAACGGTCTGTCCGTCGAGCGGCAAGTGCACAGTGGGGTCCGCAGAATGGAGGAGCAGATCGGACACCATCTCCCTGTTTTCGCGCCTGGCTGCCAGGGAGAGGGGCGAGTAGCCGGTATCCGTGAGCACGTTCGGGTCCGCGCCGTGGCGCAGCAGCGCTTTCACCGCGGCCGGGTGGTTCATCGATACAGCGCGGGCGAGTGGGGTGTCCCCTCTTCCCCTGATGCGCGCGTCCACGTCGATGTTCGGGGTGGACAAGAGTAGGGTTATTTCTTCCAGGGCGTTCGCGGACGCTGCGCGGTGGAGGAGTGTGCTACCGTCCGTGGCATTCGGGGTGTTTGGGTTGTTGGTGTGCGCCAGGAGGGTTTTCAGTATCGGGGATGTGGGGTTGTTGTGTAGGCGCTGGTAGAGGGCGTAGTGCAGCGCTGTGTCGCCGTTCTCGGGGTCGGGAGTTTCGGGGAGGGCGCCGCTTGAGAGGAGGAGGTCCACGAGTGGGGCATGGTCTTTCCACGCGGCCCAGCAGAGGGGTAGGACTGGGCACTTGTGCGGTCGTAGGGCTAAGGTGTGGAGGTGTGGGGTCAGCAGAGAGTGCAGGCGGTGGTTGACCCTAATGAGGGAGTTGACGTCCCAGACGTCTTCCAGGCTTTCCCCAACTAGCAGGAGGAGTTCGTTTGGGAGGGAGAGGAGTGACATTTTGGCAAGTGAAGTTATGTATATGTTGATGGAAGGATAAACTACCAGCAGCCTATTTACTGTATTTCAAAGGTAAATTTAAAGGAGAAGAAAGAAGAAAAGCTGACAAGAGAGTGAGTGATATTCGATGCTTCCAAAAAAGACCACCACAACCCGAGAGTCGAGGACAACCGTTTATATAATACTATCAAAAGTGGGCCGTTGTAGTCTCTTGCCCTGCAACAACACCCGCCACTCGTGATAAAATAATTGCTGCTTCCCCTTCTCGAACCAAGTTTTTTTCTCACCCTCCGTCATCGAAGTTTTTTTTTTTTTCGAAAAAATAAAAAAAAACCTTCTAGCCACTCACTGACAATTCGGGACCCGGGAGTAACCGCCGAATACCCCAAAACTTAACCAGTTATCCGCAACCACGTACGAGTACTCGGAGCTACGCTAAGCTAATCTACCAGTAACCTGTCCAGCACGAAAAATTACACGACAGACGAGAGCTACTCGAGTACTCGAGATGGAGGGCTTGAGCTCCTGTAAGAAGAAAAAAAGAAGAAAAAATGCCAAGCATAACTCTCATAGGCGACTGGCACGATCAGCCCGCGCCGTGCACCTCCGTGACCAACCAATCGAACAACAATCTACGATCTAAGAGAGGACCTGGTACCGTGCATCAAGTCACTGCTCCCACTGTGCCGTTCCTCCGGCTCCCCCGTTTCCTCCCCAGCAACACAATCAGTGGAAACCCCTCTCCCAAACGGCGCAAAACTCTTGCGACCCTGCATGTACACCCGAAGTACACATTCTCCAAGAACAAATCCCAGAAAACCCCCTTGGTAGACAAGCGTTTAGATCAGGTATTATCCCACTGCCACCAGAAACATGCCACCTCTGAACAAGCGCTTCAGGAATCCCAGCGAGCACGCAGGCACAGAACCTTAGTACTCGAGTACAAGTGCAAAAGAGAGGTTACTGGTAGTGCATCTGTCCAACCCGCCGCACATCCCCCGCCTATCGATGCCGGGCCATCCCGGACGCTCCGCTAATGAGGATGCTTCCGGAGTGAACTATTGGAAAAGGCGGGGAAGATATACGCCAATGTTAGTAAAGGAGGCAAATGGCTTCGAGGCTAATGAGACGAACAGCCAGGACAAGGTTTTGGAGAGATCATTGGGGATTCGGTGGGCTGCTGTGGGGCCCTTTGCAAGCTATCATATTATACCATGATGGTGGGGGAGGGGGGATTGAAGGGGGATCGAAGGGTTTCTTGCGGAAGGTTGGGGGCACGATTGAAGAGGTTTCGAGGGAGCGTATGGGGGCAGGTGGAGGATTATTAAAGAGGATGTCGCGGAATGGGGATTACAGAAGAGGGATTGGGGTATAAGGAGGGTGTTGGAGGTTAGGGGGAAGGAGAAGGGTGATGGTGAGCCTAAGAACGAAGGTGAGGTCCCAGGTGAGCGAGAATGGGTGAGCAGGTGCTGCAGAAGGAGAGGGTGTGAGGTTGAAGAACCAGATGATCTATCATAGAGCCAAAGATCCCAATAGTATCACAGTACCGGGATATATGCACTGTAACAGTTTTGCACCATTATCTCCCACCCAAGTACTGAAAAGTCTAACCGTCTTCCACTAAAAACAGCCATATTAACCTCCTTCCAATCTAAATCTCCATCTATATATGAAGTTATTCCCTAGATCTCACTTTCAACCCCTCTAGAACCCCGTATCCAAACTAGTTGAGGAATTATCAAGAGAGCTACGGTTGGTACATTGGTCCTAACGCAATTTGCGACAATCTCGTATCGTACACTACAAGTACAGGAGATGGCAAAGATGCGCCGCTTTCAACTGCAACTTTACAATATTGCATGCCATACTACGGTAGCCAATTCTTTTTTAAGAACCTGCGAGCACTTGGGGAGATATTCAAAAGAATTTTGGATCATAATACCAATTTTCGAATTTTTTACAGTTTCAGAATGTACTGAATGGAAAGCGTGTACCGTAGCATAGTTTAGGTTGTTACATACCATTCTGCTCGCCACTTTGTCACCAGCCCCAGACAGCACAAACTAAACTACACATCAAATGCTCCAAGCGCCACGCTTCAGTCCATCCTACCAAACACATCCATATTATGCCTATCACTAACTCTCATACTCGCCCACTACAATACACGGCATGAAACCCGCCCCGCCTGCCCTCACACAAAAAAGCTTAGTCCAACCCCATAATCATGATCATTTCACAGTTCATATTAATCCAAAGTCACAAGAGAATACCAGTCAATCCCCGGGATATGAATACCGCACGTACGCAAAACGAGTAACTATATACAAGCAAACAACGACAACTCAACACCGCCATCCCTAGTGAAATCAAAAAAAACAGATTTGCCCAAATTTTAACGACTCCGGATAAGGTAACGAGAAAGTTATAAAAAGTAAAAGTAGGGAGGTGGGGAAGCGGAACAGATTAACTATATAGCACCCCCCCCCCGGTGATACGGGGGAGGAGGTGTGAAGAAGGGAGAAAGCAGATATCTAATAATGAAATGAGAAAATGAAAAGAGGGTTCCCGCCGCTACACTTTTAGTTCTCCCCGTCCATGTAAAACTGTATTGCAAGCACTGTTCCATAAGACCATTTCGCCAGCCCCTCTGCTCCAGGGAAAAACACAACTATGAAGCAAGAACACGCACAGGCTCCACCACCGGCCTGTTTCCCCACCTCCTACTGCTCCACATCATCAACAGGAGCGGTGTCCATGTCCCCGACATGCTCTGCACAAACAGGTACCTGACCAGGGATGATCAACTCCTCCTCCATGTCATCGTTGACAAACTTCCTCTCGCTGACATGCTCCCGCTTGCCATCTTTAGTCCAGACTTTATGATCGAATGCACCCTTTTGCTGACCTTCATCGTGCTTATATGCGCAGTTAGGGTTCAGACACGGGTTAAATTTGCATTTGACTTCGGTGTGGGTAAAATGGCAACCTGGGCGGGTGCATTTTGGGCCGTTGCGGCAGAGAGGCATATCCGGACTTTGCATATCGTTAGTATACGCACACACATGTAAGGGATATAGGGATATAAGTTGGGTGGGGAGGAGACATACTGCTTGAAAGGACAAGCAGGATTAGTGCAATTTGGATAGAACTTGCACTCCGCGTCAATCTTTGACGGCCTAGCGATGACAGCGGAAGCAGCGGGTGATGGATGAGAACCGGTACATTTCCGATTTCTGCAACCGGCACCAAACGAACACTTTTCACCCGATACGTATGTGACGGGTTTGCCAGGGATAGCTGCGGGAGTCGGGTGCGCGAACGGGCATTCGGGCTTGGTGCAGTTGGCCGCGAATTTGCAGGGGACCTCGTCTAGTTGCTTGTCTGGGGATTGGTCCATGGATGATGGCGGTGCATCTCCTGCGATTGGTGTTGGTGCTCTACCGCCTGGGGCACCTGCATCCTCGCCGGTATCCATTTCGCTGTTGTTGTCTTTGTGGTGATGGTTTTTGTTACCGTGGTTGAACTTATTGTCCGGCGGTGCTTGGATACGATCAAATAGAGACCCGCCCACACGTCTTGGCTGCGAAAAGCTGTTGCCGTATGGATTATCCATCATCGGACCCCTGCCCATCATCGGTGGCATCCCCATAGGCCCGTTCATGGGCCCATTCATAGGCCCGTTCATATGGCCATTCATTGGCCCATTCATCGGCATTTGGTGGTGATGGTGGTGATGGTGGTGGTGGGGGTGATGACCCATAGGGCCCATATGAGGAGGCGGTGGACCACCCATGAACGGTGCCACAGCCTGCGATTGCTGCTGGTACAAGTGATAGAATTGCATCTGTTGTTGAGGGGTTAAGGTCGCGAAGCCAGAGACCGGGGGGGCGTTTCCATTACGCCCGTTCATACGACCAGGGCCATTCTGACGACCCATCTGTCCTCCCCGCATCATACCTCTCGAAGGGCCTTTGGGCGGATCACGTCTCTCGATCCCTCCAGCCTGAGGCCTAACACGATGTAAAGGATCAACAGGCGTCGGGCGGTCCATCGCTTTTGTTAGCTGATTGAATAATCGCCGTCCCTGTGGATGTCTCATAGCCTTTGGCGCAGTGGGTCTAAATAGAATTTGAATCAGCACACAGTACAGGTTAATCGTACTAAACTGCAAGATCCCAGGGGCGCTAGTCAGTTAAAGCCAAGGATACATACACTCCATTCTGCCCAGATTCTCCATCGGCAACTTCGCCCATGTCATGATCCATGGCACCATCCACACCCTGAGGCCCTTCCGAGGAAGCACCCTGTTCCTGGGCGGCGGTTTCCTGCTGGCTTCCATTTCCCTGCGCTTTCCCATTCAGGCTATCAACCTGCTCAAACAACCAATTGGCAAATTCTAACGCCGTTGAATCTCCCGGTGGCAAACCGAGCAAATCGCCAGAAAGCTCCTCCGCAATCTGTTCCCGGCTCTTGCCATTCTGTATCATCAGGCAAATGTATTCACTAAGCGGAGAGTTATCTTCACCGCTGATGCTCCATCCTATCTCTACTAGCTTTGGTTGGATACGTTGACCCAGAACCTCTGACATCGAACCGCTGAGAACGACAGCCATAACGAAAGAAGGCAAAAATTAAGAAAGTCCGAAGGATGAAGACGCGCGGCTATAGGCAGAGGGAGGGAGGCCGCGCGAGTCGATAGAAGAGTGCGTAAAGCAGGGAGAGGAGGGGGGGGGTGGCGGAGAGAATGCACTTAAGCAACCGAAGCGACGCGATGAGTGTCAAAAAGAAGGTTAAAAGACGTAAGAGAGAGCGGTTGTTTGCAGCGCCGAACGGCTTCCGTCTGAAGTATGAAGGAGCGGAAAGGCTGAACGAGGGGGAGAGGGAGGGCAGATGTAGGTAGGGGAGGGAATGGGTGGAGTGTTAGGAGTTCGAAGTAGAAAAAGAAGAAGCTTCGCGATGACTGAGCAACCCGTTGTGCCAAGGTATGCCGCCACACCTAAACCACAACAAGAATCGTGCTGGTATTATCTCCCAGTTAGAGTTGAAACAAAACCGGACAGGACAACGACAGGTTGGAAGAAACAATCTTTCCATACACGATCACTTGAAAAGTCCTCACACATACATGTACTCGTAGTTAGTTGCTGGCATACTCGAGTAGTAGCATATAGGTGTCAACCGGTTACAAAGACCCCTCAACCACAGAATACCGGTGCTATGACAAAATTTCCCCGTAGTAAGACTTCAAAGGTCATCGAACCAATTCTATCTTTCAAGAAAAGGGAATAAACTACCGTATGCTCCCGTTATCTACAGTACCCCGCCATCATACAAAAAAAATCATTTAAGACCATTGTTTCAGGTTGCAAGTGAAGTTGCTGACCGGTCCTGTGCTGCTCCAGCTTAACCGTCAAAAAGAAATACCAAATTCGCACAATATGTCTCACATTTACTCATCAACCCGCCATAGCGACTTTCATCCCGTAGAACACATGTCCAAACAGAAAACCACCACCAACCCATGCTCTCCCACTCACTTCCACCCCCATACCCTTGTATCAATTCAATGCTTACCGATATCGCATTAGGGTCATATATGGTACCAGTACCCCACACTCTCTTTCCAGAAAATCTCCTTCAACAGCCTGGCACATCCGTCCGTCACCGACCAAAGGCGGTTCAAACCCCACTCCTTGCTAAACTGCAAGGCCTCTTGATTCGCCTGGCCCACTTCCCCCGCAAACTGCAACGCTCCCTAGTCGCCGGCACCGACAGGATTTGGGTTTTTGTGCACAATAAAAAACATGCAAAGGGACCCCCCCTGTCCCACTGTTTGATCCGGGGGGAGGGATACCGGTAGGTTGAGGACAAAAATAGGTATGATGCAGAAAAATAAACAAACGTAAACACAAGATGCGACTGCTCGTGAGAGAGGATATAGGGAAATTTCACAGCACTATCTGAACCAATAAATCAACATAGACAAAAGAGTCACCGCGCAGTGAGTTTTTGTTTAGGGGAACCCAGCCGGCTTGAATGAAACCGGAACACCAGTGCCTGGAGAAAGGACAATATTGCAGTTTTGATATTGCTCCTCCTTTTGCCCAGACTCAACCGATCCCAACTGTTGGAACATCCTCACGAGGACGTACGACATTTCCGTGAGGGCAAATTGCTGGCCGATACAGATTCGAGGACCGCCGTTAAACGGGATATACTACCAACTCTTTGGTGACCTACGGGTTTGTTAGAAAAGAGAAAAAACATTTCCATCCTGGGAAGGTTTTGTTCTACCATTTCTCCCACCTATCTGGATCAAACCTTCCAACACCTAGTCCAAAGAGGTCCTCTCTGCGCTGCATAGTCAAGGGGGCGTAACCGAACATGGTGTTTTTCGGCATCCCAACAGGCTATTGACAATTAGTGAATGCAAACAATAGTTAGAAAACATCGAGTGCATACATCAAGGCCATCAGGCCCAGCTCCACGCGGCAAAGATGTATCCTTCAATGACATGCGCGCGTTGAATGGTACTGCCACCGGGAGTCAATAAGGCATCGATCCCGATTGAGCTACATCACTAATCCTACCTGCAGGGTAAAGTCTCAACGTCTCGTTGATAACATGTTGCAAATACTTCATCTCCTTCAAGTCCGTATAAGTGGGTTTTCCGTTTGGCCCAAGCCTCTCCAAAATCTCCATTCAAAGCTTCCGAACGATCTCTGGTTGGCGAGCAATCTCGTAAAGTGTCCAGCTAAGTGTGGCAGCAATGGTATCCTAATCTCATATTAGCCCTCCATCCACTTTAATAACTCACATTCGGAGCAAACAAGCAGATAATTACACTAGCGGCAAGGAGAACAGCAACAAGCTGATCCCTAAGCATATGCTTATCCCTAGTAAATTCGGCCAGGGCGTGAAGGAAGTTGTAACTCTTTTCATTCTTGCTCTTCAACTCCTCCGGCCCCATCCTCAATGCCTGTTCAACATATGGCTCCACGAACGAGTTGAGAACCTTCAGGTCCTTCCTGTACTTCCCCTCCGGGAATATCCATCTTAAAGGATCAGCCTTAGACTTGTCGCTCATGTGCTTCTGAATATCGGCGAAGGCACGAGCAAATTCAACCTGTGGGCTGCCAAGACTGTCGACGCTATGGCCGAGCAGGAAGTCGGTAGCAGAGTCGAGGGTGAAGCGGTAAAAGAGGTCTGAGATGTCAACAATAGCACCATCTCTAGGTATATGCTCGAGCATGTGGGATACATGACGTTCGAAGGTGTCCAAATCCGAGACTCTACCCCTGATGAACTGAGGACGAATCAACTGACGAGAGGCATGCCAGAGCTGACCATCGGTAGTGAAGATACTATCACCAAGGAACGACTTCCAATCTTGGCGGAAGGACTCTCCTTTGCCTATCCACGTCACCTCCGTTAGGGCCCACAGTGGGCTCTAAGGGCTAGCGAACATACCGTAGTCGTGAAACTGGGACGCCAACACAGCCCTTATGTTCTCCTGATCCTCTGTGAAAATAACTCTCGTGCCCATGATGCTAACCTCGACAGTGTGACTCCCCACGGTCTTGAACCGGCTCTCCCAAAGCTCCATGTTTTTGTTAGCTTCGGCAGCTACAAGTGTCCTTTTAATTTCATCGAGTCCTAAGAAACGCCATTAACATTTACCGCCCGATTATAGGAACGGAAAATAGCGGCTACCGAACAAGATCCATCGTCCAGGAAGCGACCTAGCTCTACCACCAAGTTTATGTATCTTCCAATTCTCTCTAACCCTCTTGAAGGCAGACGTTAATACACCAGCCACTACTGCTGCTATCAGCAGCCCAGGTGCAGACTGGACGACAGCTCCGAACAGCATCCTCTAATCTTTTCAATGTTTGCCAAAACTGAAATAGCTCTGGAAAGCCAAGTTTGCAAGTGGGAAGACCAGCTCAGAAGACGGGTAATTTAAGGCAAGGCCGGAGGAGCTTAAGAATCCCAGTATGGAGAGGTAAGAAAAAAAAGGCTTTTACACCTCTATTTACTCGAACATTTTATCATGCATGGTAGCAACTCAAGCGCTCGGGGATGAGAAAATTCCCCACCTTTTTGGCCTGGAGGATCTGCCATTAATAGCCATCATATATCGGATTAATTCAAGGAGGGTGGGTGGAGGGGTCAAGTGGGGACAGGCAAGGAGCAAGTTGTCTGTCTGTGCTTGCATCCTCTCCCCCTTCCTACTCGTACCCTCTCAGTTCTCCACGGCTGTGATACGCACCCGCTAGTCTACTGTTAACTACTATTGCGTCAGATACCCAATTGCCGGTATTACTCGTACAGAGGGGTTCGCCAATCATCGGAAAGACGAGATCCCGGTTGAAATCCGTGAGTAATGAAAACTCCGAAAACTTGGAAAAGGCAACAGGGATTCATGATCAATAAACCAGTATGATGAAAGAAAAGGCAACAACAAAACCTATGATGATAAAATATCATAATTGGATGATGTCTGGGAGCACAACTTCCTTTGCCTACAACCAAAACCTAGTGCTTTTGTCCAGATCTCAGTACCATGCAAGAGTAGTCAGGTTCATGAAGGCCTTTGAATCGTAAGTAGGTATCTTGCTGTGACAAAAGGATGAGGTCAATGATGTTTCATATTCAAGAAAGGGAATAAGGATAAATAGTGAGGTGGATAGTACAAAGTGGAGTTTAATCAAAGTCCTCTAAAAAATTTCTTCTGTCTCTTACCTATAGTATGCCTTTAATTAAATCCTTTTAGATCTTCTGAATATAAGTATATATTACTTCTAAGTCGAGCCTTTCAGTTCGCCCAATGGACAACCAAATCGACTCTGAAACTGAGGGCTTTTCAAGTACTAAAGAGTCCGAAATAATTGCCATAGCAATTTCAACTTAAGATTCAAGCTCCAAGCCAGCGATTCCTATTGTGGATAATATCAGAAGTTAACATACTCGAGACACCATTTGTGCTTTGCATATTTATGCTAGGTGGTCCTATCCTCAACTCCAGGAGATCTTTGGAATACCGCTTTCATCTCTTCACTGTATCCTTCACAGTGGTGACCGCAATCATACTCATCAACGAGAGCCATCACCAAGCAGTAGCTCATATCTCATTATCAATGCTAATCTTCAGTGGCCTCTAATTGCTACTGCTACAGCAAGTGGACACCACCACTGGCTGCCATATACTCAAGTAGCAGAGCTTGCCGGCATTCAGCTTAATGAGATGACCCTTTGAAGAATCTTCTCCAACACAGGTTATCATTAGCGCATCGCTCATCAAAAACCCTTTCTTTTAGTAAAGGCTTAGGAGAAGAGAATGCCTTGGGCTGAGCAAATTTAGGGATTGGACTATAGACAATTAGGCTGATGTTATCTAGTCCGATGAATGTGCTTTTTCAGTTGGAGATATGGGAGAAACAATATGCATGATACGAAGGGTTGGAGAGGAGTATATGAACAACTGTTTAGTTCCAAGATTCCCACACCAAATAAAAAAAAAAAAAAATTATGATTTGGGCTGCCATCTACTGAAATCAGGAAGGTCTTTTAGTTATATGAGATTCAAGCTGGGGCTGTATTAACAGTTCAACCTTTATTCAGCATATCCTATACTCCTATATTCTTCCCTGGTGGCTTACTCTACATTGCACTGAAAATACAACATCGAGTTACTGTCACGAATGTGACTTGGCACGGAAAGGATTTTCACATGACATAATTATGAGTCATAGGTATGTTTTAGCTTTGCAATTATGACTTATTTAGGTCATATGACTTGTTATGTTATGATTTATTATATTTCTCACATGACTTAATTATGAATCATGGGACATGTGCTGTCACGAATGTGGCTTGGCAGGAGAAAAGGTTTTCACATGACGCATAATTATGAGTCATAGGTATGTTATTGTTTCATGCATATGGCTCATTTGGGTCATAAGACTTATTATATTATGTTTCACACATGACTCGATTATAAGTCATGGGACGTGCGCCTGGCAAGTATACCTCGCGAGTGTGCCTTGCGGGTATGCCTTGCACATATGATTTATGTTTTGCACATGACCTTGTTATGAGGTCATGGGTTTCACACATATGACTCATTCGAGTCATATAACTTGTTTATTACATTACGATTAGTTTATGAGTTTTCGCACATGACCTTGCTATAAGGTCATGAGTTTTAAGCAGGTGACCACTTTGGTCATATAATTAGTTTGTTATGATTTGGTTTCGCACATGTGACCACTTTGGGTCACATGACTATTGGTGGGAAGAACACTATATAAGGAGGCCGATGCAGCCGAGGAGGATAGGTTCTTCACGCTTTGTTCTAAGTACTTCTCCTACTTATTACTTTAACGAATATAAAACACCTTTAATGATCTTTATCTTTATTGCAATGTTATCATTGCGACAGGAAAGGTTCTTTATGAAAAAGAGTTAGAGAAAGCTTACGATAGGTGTTCCCGATAGAAGACAAGGGTCTTGGACTCTTGGTAATGTAGGCAGAGGCGTAGCGCTATAGTAAGACGAAGAAAATAGATAGAAGAAGAGAAGTATCGTTTCCCATCGCCAAGAACTAACTATCCGCGGAGGGATCATTATATTACAAAGTGTCACCTAGTGCAACACCAAACCATACAAGACGGCATCTTTCAACACAGATAGGGAAGGAGATATCGACATCGATGATCAAAACTTTAACCTAGGGGGATTTAGCGATGTCCTAGATCACATATCAACAGAGCTCGTAAGGGCAGTAAGACCAGTAACCTCAGAGAAAGGATTACCAGTCGATAGCTCTCCTGCAGGAACCCCACGACCTGAGAGAATGTGAGGATTAGCAGTACCGGTGCCACCGGCTCCGGCCGCTCTGGCACCAAGCACCAGCATACTTCGAATGACTGAGAATCAGTTTCAGGCATTTCTAGTAGCAACACGAAATACAGAACAAGGAAAAATCCAGTGACCGAAAGCAAAAGAACCCGACACATGCAAAAGAGCCAAAGATAAGCTATGAATATTCCTGGTACAATGTGAAGGGTATTTTGCAGTTAAGGGATGTGTAGAATACCACAATGAGATCAAGATTCCCTATGTGGAATCTCTACTAAGAGGACTGGCGGGACATGTAACCGGTACGGGTACTTGGTTTGTTTTAAGTATCGTTTGATACTTGGTTTGGTTTTATGTTTTGTTTCAAGTGTCGCTTTGACACTTAAAGAGTTTTACCAAAGTGTATCGATTGATACCTTTGATTAGTTTCGTTCATGTTGAGACATGAACAGATTTGTGTATTTAAAGACCGCCTGTTTCTACGATAGAAAGGGCAGACTTCGACAGACAGTATTTCAATATACTTGGTTAAACGGTTACTTCTTTGTTCCCCAGTACACCCTCGAAGCCTCCTTTAGTTCTCAGCTCTCGCCTCCTCTCTGGAAGAGCAGGCCACCTGCCAACTATCGTATCTATTACCGATAACGTGATTAGCACTTTGCGAACACGTTACATTATTTTAACCTCAGCAAGTGGTTAAGAACGTGTCCCCGGATTTAGGCCTGATCAACCTATCGATATCCACCTCAGAACGCTAGCAGAGAGAAGCGGCAGAATCACAGCACATTCGGCTTCATCTCAAACCCAAGATAGAGTCTTTGACGACCAGGAGTGGGAAGCAAATCCCACAGCAAGACCTTACAAGAAAGAAACAACCCCGGCGCTCTGCTAAAGAGCCAGGCGATCCTGCAAACACGGAAGATACACAACCTCCAGGAGAATTCCCCTCTACCTCAGCAAAGAAGCCTTTCTTTGAACCTCCAAATGACCCCGAATCTAGTAGCGAATCGGATATGGCCAGCACAGGAGGAGGGCCTTCTGGAGGAGGGAAATCTTGGGTAAGGCCTGAAGAAGAGGAGGTACCTGCAGCATTTGAACCCCCTAAGTTTAAACTCCACCTCCCAGCAAAATTCACAGGAGAAGGAAAAGACCTCAAACCTGAAGCCTTTGAATGATGGGCAACAGAACTCTCACACTTCCTACTCCTACAAGGAAAAGATGTGGAAGACCCTACAACCGGACTTATCATTGGATCATTCTGTGAAGGAAAGGCAACCGACGCATACCACCAATGCTATAAGGACTTCGGCGGGAATATAAGATTAAGAGGATCTACAGTTCTCGATTACCTGAAAGGACAATTCCAATCCTCTATAACCAACGACCTCCTATACAACAAATTCAACCAGCTCCAGCAAGTTAACGGAACGCATGTCAAGCGAATCACCGATGTGGCTATGGACCTAATAATGTATAAGGACCGGATGGAGAGAGGAAGTATCTCCAAATATATCCTGAAGCGACGATTCTACGACACCATGCACCCTACCCTCCGGCGAGAAGTTTAACCACTCGAAGAAGACGGCGATGATATTGCAGTAATAATTGCAAGAGCAGAACGAAAGGACGCCATTCTCCATGAGACCAAGGCCTACAAAACACAGACATCCTCTAGTAGGAACAGCCAGCCACGACACAAAGCCTCCAGCAACTCTGAAGAAGATACCCCACGGGTTTTCAAGA